AGGCGACGCGAGGCTGCGCCTGCTGGTGCGCCCCGACTGGCACTCGCGCGCCGCCATCAGCGCCAAGCTTAACGCCGACGCCAACCTCCGCCGCTTCCCGCCCGACCCGGACTCCGGGCAGCGCCGCCCAGAGCAGACCGCCGACGCCGCCGTCTTTTTCTCGCACGCCACGCCGCCCCACCCGCTGCTCGTCGCGAACCGCCGCCTGCTGGACCAGATCGTGCGCGCCGCTGCTCCCGGCACGCCTGCTGCCGCTGCTGCGGAGCTGCCGCTGGCCTGCAGCATGAACGCCAACATCCACATCGAAACCAACGCAAACGCAGCCCCCAGTGCCGCTGCCAGCGCCGCACCACCTGACTTTGGCGACGACGACTCTGCCGACTCCATGGAGCCCTTCCGCTGCCAGCTGCCGGGCACCTCCTACTACATATTTGTCGCCGCAAAGGCCCTGATCATGTACCTGCACCACGCCAAAATGTCCGCCTACGTCTTGGCCCGCCGCAACTCCTCCACCGCCGCCCTCGACGCCCTGCTGCCTAGCGAGTCCGTGTCCATTGACGGCGACCATGCAGACAATGCTCCCAGGCCCTGTGCTTTGCCCGACTTCTCCGCATATGCCCCGCAGCGCCTGCCCAATGACGACGACAATGACGCCGACTTTGCCAATGACCTATCGCCACCGCCCGAGCTGCGCACGCTGGCTGACATCCGCCGCATGCAGGACCGCCTGGAGGTCGTCATGACTGCCTTGCGTCTGTCGCAGCGCCACTGGATGCCAGTCGACTACTTCACATTGTGCGCTCGCAAAATCCGCAATATGTCGCTCTACGGCCCATGGAGCATCGAGGACCCGGTGTCCTCTGATCCTCTTGCCGAATTGGCTGCTGCTGCCGACGACTCTTGGTCCACAACATCTGCGAAGAAAAAGACTCGGCGCTGATCCTTGTTTTTGTGTTGTTATCTTTTTTGTGCCCAAATTGAGCTGCTTTCTTTTTATTCCAAAATCGCTCGCTTCTGTTTTTCTGCTTTCTGTGGAGGTCAGCCACCACCACTCTCAGGTGGCGCCGCCTCAGAGAACAGAAATTGCCTACATCCATGCTGCCTCTCCTCCCCTCCCCCCATTCGCTCGCTGCTAATGCGCCCACTTTAAAACGGCCATTTACACGCGGGGGAGAGAGAGAGAGAGAGAGAGAGAGAGAGATTGGTGAACCTATAAAAACTACTCTTTCTTCTCCGCTCTGCCATTTTATATCTCTCCATCTTTATATTAATAATCCTTGAGTTTTTTTACATACCTAATAATGAGCACGTCGTTTATCAGCCATAGCCCTAGTCCCAGCACACACAGCCGCTTGCACGTCTATGCTGCCGGCGACCCTGACGACTTGCACTATCACCATCGGTCGCCAGCCCCAGCAGCTGCCGCATCTATCGCCGAGTCGTATCCGAGTAGATGCGCCTCGCCCTTGCTTCCAATGGGCCAGCATCGCACACCATCGTCACACCACCAGACCATCGACCCTGACCGTCTGTCACAGCAGCTAGGCAAAGTCACCAACCGCCAGAGCCAGCAATCAGTAGTCCACAAAAACTACGCTATCCCCGAAGACGAAGACACTGAGCTCCCACCAGACACCGGTAAGCGTAGCCAGACCACACGCTTTATCAACTACCACCGCACACCATCAGCTGGTAACAAACTACCCGGTCGCAGGACTATGCCGCATCAAAAGTCTTATCGCATTAGTACCGCTGCTGCCGACCCACACCAATCGTCTGTTCGCGAGCTGTCATCCAAGCTAAAGTCGGCTTGTCGCAAGCTTAACCCCAAACGACTGACTAAACATGGTCATGGCCACCAGGATTCAGAGGAACCGCCACTATCCGACCTTCCTTATCCAGAGGTCTTTGGCGGCATCCCATCTCGGTAGTATTCTTTTGTTTGTTTTCTGTGAAGAAAAAAAAAAAAAAAAAACGTATCATATATCCTGTTGATTGTTTGTGGTGAAAACTTTCTAACAATCGGTGTGCTCGGGCAGTAGCAAAAAGGTCACTAAATTTAGGCTTGCCCTTGATGGAAAAAGGGAAGAAAAAAAAAAAAAAAGCAGGAGCATGCGAAAACAAAAAGAGGCAAGCGCGCATGATCAATGCTCAAGAAGAGGCGTTCTAGGCGCGCCCAATGCCAAAAACAGTTGCTATTTTGACACTCTCCACCCCCACCCCCTTCTTTTTTTCTTCTTTAACTCTATTCAATACTGCTATTATTATTATTATTATCATTTTTTTTTACCATGGGACGAGCTAGGGATTGTTTGTACGCGTTGTTTCGCCGACGCAGTAACAGTGCTTCGAGCAAAATACCCGCCAGCGACCGCACCACAGTGTCCTCCGACACGACAGCCGTCGAGGACCCCACGCACATACACAACTCTGTTCCACGCTGCTCTTTATTCGAGCCACCCCTGCCCTACATATCCTACGACGCATTTACGAGCGAGTCGCGCCAATACATAAGCACTGGCGACTTTCACGTATACAAATCGTTCCCATCCAACTCGCTTTTTCCCTTGGAGGACGAGGGCATCGGCCGCCTGAAAAACGTCTACGAGGCGTGGTTTCCAAAGTCAGGCTCCATGTCTAGAGACAAGGTCAGCGGCATATATATCCTGACCATCGTCAACGTGGGACTTTTAGACGGAACCACCTATTGTGGTGGCACGGCCACCGCACTACCCCTTCAGAAACACCATGTTCAGTGCTTGTACTCGGGAACTGGCGTGCGCCGCGCGTGTAACATGGGTACGAGCAGCACCGTGTGTACGGGTGCCGAACTCTGGATTAAGAGCAGCTTGCCTGTCGCTGGCCCTTGGACCCAGTCCCTGCATATCCCGCCCACCCTGCGTCTCAACAAGATGTGCCCCATCGCTGCGCCCAAATCAGACTTTACAAAATTTCTCAACCCAGACCCACATAACCTCGCAGTCCTGCCAGGAATTACCGCCTCGTCGCAAGTATTCGAGCTCGACAGCGACGTTCATGTCTATATCTGCCGCCTAGTGCCCTGTGCCACAGTCAACCACACCACGGCCACTGCACGGTGCGCCAACGAACCGCCCATCTTTGAAATCCCAAAGCTCCGCCGCGCAACCACCACGCTCTCCACTACCCGCGGACCAGTCCACACTAACCACCAGGATACTGCTCACCATGGACCGGAAAAATCCCGCAGTATTTACATACACGTGTTTAGTGACTATTCTAAAATTGGAACTACGCGACAAGGCGGCGCTCGCCTAATGCTTCCGGGTTCTATTCAGCTTAGCTGTGGCGACGGTATACACTTGCAACACGTACAGCCTGGTGCCAGTATTTCTATTAAAAATATTGGTTATGATCGCGCTCAGTTTGTGCTCGTCGATATGCCTGGATACAACAAGAACGATGCCGACGCACGCAGTATCTAATTTTTTTATTTATATATCTTGTACTTTTACAAACCCACCATTCTAGACGCTGTTATCATTGGTGATCGAACATCGGATGTGCCAACTAAACCCCAGTAATGGACACTTGGTCCAGATCATAACGGGGTAATGAACAGGCGACAATATTGTTTTGAAGTGCCCTTCGATTTTAGCTTATAGACGCCGGTACGTGACGCTACTCGTTGGTTACAACTTTCACATTGTTGTCACCACAGCTAGTGACCTCAAACAACTACTTGCTGAAGGACAAAGAACATGATTATCCGCGCCATCCAGTTGTAGCTCTAAGCGCCTGACAACGACTGCTGGTACAAAACAAGAGCAGGTATGAAAGAGACAACGGTAGTCGCCCAGTTTGCCACTTTTATTCACGGTCACAGCCCTGACAATTACAACAACCTTCAAAAAATTTCGATATTGCAATAAGCCAGATTACTTTGGCTGGGGAGAGCAATGGCAGGGTGTTAAATTTGCAGTTCACAGGTATATTCGGGTTAATGTGAGAGAACAACTAACGAATGTAAAATATAAAATAAAATAAAATAAAATAAAGTAAGCAAGAAATGAAGACAGCCATACCACGTTTATAGCTTCAATATGGACACCAATATGTTATACATATTAGTAGCCATCTACTCTGTCAAAAACTCTACAGGGCTACCATCTCCAGGGAAGAATAGGTCTATATCACTGCTTCCTTCTTTAATAGCAGTTAAACAGGTGATAATGTCATCAGGAATATCGATTGCATTATTACTAACATCAAAGGCTTGAACTAGTACATCATTCTTTGCGTCAGCATTTAGCAGCACATCGATAGCAAGTGAATTTTTATCATTCCTAGCCATCAATCCAATGGCAGCATTGAAATCCTGGCCATCAAGGCCATTTGCAACTAGTGCTCCTCTTTCGGCGTTATTGGCAAAAACTACTAGATAAGTTGGGTATCCAGGGTTCTTTGCAACAAATGAGAAAAACGAAGTACTTGCGTCAAACTGAGACTCTGTATCAAACTTGCTATGCATTGCTACTGGGTGGCTAATAAACGATGAACAGTAGTGCAGGTTCAAGTGAAGAGTAGTGGTGTGAGATGAAAAGACATTATTTGGATGCTTGTCCAAAGCCGCTTTTTTATAGCCATTTTTTTTTCGGCGGCAAGCATGCCTTTTTTGTCAAACAATGAGGTCCCCATTGACCACATGCATCATGCTTCTAAAAGGCAGTCACTGCCTTTGAATATGACATCATTTGGTTTCCAAAGAGCGAAAAACATTTGCTTTGAAGTATGCCTAGCCAATATGTTTGTGTATTGTGTGACTGCAGCGTGAAAGGATTTCTAGAAGCCCTCCTGGATATAAAATGATATCACCCATCAAGAAAATATTAATAGCTACAAGTTATTGTTAATGGTGACAATATATTCGTTGCGGCATCGTCAATAGGTTTATAAAATGTTGCATGGGTAGTCATAATAAATTTGCGCTTAAAGGCTGCGCAAAAAAACCAAAAAGAAATTGCCCATTATCGGAATCGAACCGATGATCTTCTGTTTACAAGACAGATGCTAAAGCATCGCTTACAAGACAGACGCTGTGCCTCTTAGCCAAAGGGGCGATTACTTTGGACTAAACACCCAAGTTTTCTCCTTGCAATTATCCCGCAACAATTATAACCACCTCCTTGGCTTTGTATAAATGAAAAAGACACCCGCTTGATCCCCGCGTCCAAGATTTCTGGCAGCGGGTCTCGCAATTTCTACAAGCATTACGTTCAGAGACAGCTGGGCCCGTCT